ACTTTGCTAACTGTCTAACAAGTCTCTGGCCTTTTTGATTTAGGATCTTATCTCCAAAAAAAAGGTTGCATTTAGTTGGCATGTCTGTCCTGACTATTTCAATGTGAGTGGGAACCACTGTGAGATAAATCAATGTCCTGGGCATCTTTGGTTTGTGTGCATTGTTCTGTGTGTATATTCCATAACAATGTTAATTTTTATTGAAATATTAGTTTTCAATAGAAAGCTAATCACATTGATGTATTTCAAACACAGTATTTGCTCCCAGAATTCAAATTTCTGCATAAATAATTTTTCAGTCACCATATTTGTAAAGCCCAGAAATTTAAACTAATTTTGAAGCAGTGCTTAGAGAGTGAAATATCAGGGTGCCTGGGTGGCTCAGTCATTTAAGTGACCAACTCTTGATCTTGGCTCAGGTCATGATCTCACAGTTAGTGGGATGGAACCCTATATTGGGCTCATAGGGCCTGCTTGTGATTCCCTCTCTGCCCATCCCCTACTGGTGTTCTCTCTCCTCTCTCTCTCAAAATAAATAAATAAACTTAAAGAGAAAGAGTGAAAAATCATCTTACCAAGTACCAGATACCAAGAGAGATCCGAAACAGATTTTTATTGGAACCCCTACCTACATAGCTCTACAAAAAAATCATTCCCCTCCTAATTTATACGATTACTTAAACATGGTATAGTTCTCATTTTCTCTCTTTTTTTCCCCCAGGGGAAAGCACAAACACAGTCCCCCATTACCACAAACTATGCAGTCGAGTTTCCCACATTTGGGGAAGTCGCAGGGGTCAGCACATCCAGAGTGCAATGGATAGCCTTGCCATGGGAAAACCACCTTCATGATCATGCTATCTCCCTGGTCAGATAAGTATTAGTTGCTCTCATTTTAAAGTAAAGAGTATTATACTTTACATTCATATTTTGATCAAAGGTTTCAGTTGAAGGTGTTAAAAAACAAAATTCAACTGAGTACATTTGAAGATCTAATTGGCTTTATTAAGCAATTCATGAATCAAGTAGCATCCCATCTAGCTAGTTTAGAGAAGCTCTGAGGAGTTGTATAAAATTGAAGGATTTTAGAGGGAGAGTGGGACAAGAAGTTATTAGCAAAAGAAAAGAAAGGATTGTTTCTGGCAAATTCCCCTTCCCTTTGGGGGAGAAGGGCAGGGGCTTTATCACACAGATTATCTCCTCTGCCTTTGGTGGTGTAGTGCAGGGAAGGATGGAGAGGGCCCAAGTGATAGATTACCTAATTGTTGCTGACCAGAAAATTCCAGATTGATTTGCTTTAAAATTCCATTCCTAGAGAGGTTGAAATTGCAATTAAGTCTGGGTTTGCTGTCCTGGGGGTTAGTAATTCCACCTTGGGGCTGCGGTTTTCTTTTTAACAAAGTTATAAAAAATGACAGACTACATTTATGAGAGAGAGGTATTGCTAGACCAATCCATTTTAATATAGCAATGGATTCTTTCTGACCAAAAAGAGGTAGAATTTTCTAGTGGCCCTGACAACTGCTCTTGCAGATAATTTCCAAGGGATGTTTTTTGAAATGGCAGCTTCTGGAAAGTCCACTTATGATGGATTGGTGGAGAGTTGGGGGATGGACTGGCTCAGTGCTTTGCCCTGTTGCCAATGTGGAAACACGGAACGCAGGTCTGACCCACACCAGGCGCTCGTGTGTGTGTGTGTGTGTGTGTGTGTGTGTGTGTGTGTGTGGAACATATGCATGCCCACTTGCTGAGGCTGGGGCGGCAGCAAACTTGAACTGAGGGAGGAAGTCGATGCCAACCAGGCTTAAAATTAGACATGGTCTCTTTCTGGCAGTTTTAGGGATAAAAAGTTTTGCATATTTTTGTCTTAATTATGCAGACCTACTTTCAGGGGTACCTCTGGCTCAATGTGATATGCAGACCCAAACAGCACCAATGGCTTTTTTCCCCTATCCTTCACCGTATTTGTTTCTTTAGCTTTAAACAAAATTGCTTATCTAATGGAAACATGCCCTTTGCCAGAAGCTGGCCTACAGCAAGCACACTTGCATGGACTTTGTTCTTTGCGTGCACATCCCCACTCCCAACCCCATCAACGGTTGGGAGAAAATCTCCGGTTCACAAAAGTCAAAGGCTAAACCATCTTGGAGATCGCGTCCTATGTCCGTTTTTCAGATCAGTAAACTGACACCTAGAGAAGCGTAGAGACCAGTCGGGGTCATGCCAATACCCACAACACAAGGCCTGGGTTTCCCCGCTTTTCTTCGCTGCTCCTTCACCTCTAATACGGTGTGGGGTGGACTGATCGGATTAAAGAAAGAAAGGAAGAAATGTTGTCCAATGCCGCCTTCAACTACTGATATTGCCCTCCAACGTTCCCAAACAGTTAGCTTGCATTGGCAACCACGGAACCTGTACGGAGTCCTAACTGCAAAACGACCTGCAATTTTAAAAGCTTAAAAACCCAAACAAAAAACACCGTTAGCATCTGCTTTCAACCTTTTGTAGTACTAACTCTGCTCTCTCATTTCCTCACTTTCAAAGCAACCCACGCGGGCGGGGGAGGCCAGGACGCGAGGGGAGGAAAGAGGAGAGTTCGGGAAGGCCAGCGGGGGCTCCGGGGTGGCGCCGCGCCGCACGGCGGGGTAGAGACCACCGAGAGCCGGCCCCAGAGCCCCAGCGCGGGCGGCTCTGCGCACGCGCGTGGGTCGGCGGGCTGCAGCTCTCCTGCACCCCGCTTCATTCTGCTTCATTGAGCCCTTTAGCGCTGCCTCCTCCCAACCCCCAAAGCCCCAGGCTGGGATGGCGGAAATCCCAGGGCATCCTCAGAAAACGACGTTTTGGAAGATCCGGGATGGGTGGGTAGCAGGAGGAAGGCAAGGACGTTAAGGGCAAAAATCTTAAATCGCCCCCAGCTGCGTCTCTGCAAAAGTCTAAGAGAGACACCGGCGCCACCGCTCACGGCTGGCGGGAGAGCAGAAGACTGGGCAAGCAGAGCGCGGGACCCCGAGGGGCGGGGCGGAGCTGTGGGCGGGGCCTGCTGCCACTCCCCCGAGGCCCCGCCCCTCGGACCAACCTCCCGCCCTGCCATTGGAGGGCGTCGGGGGCGGGTCCGAGGGACACCCCCCCTCTCGCCACCAGCCCCCGCCCCGCCCTCTGCCCGCCTACGCTTTCGGCCCTTCCAGGAGCCTCTGAGCACCAGGAAAGGAAACACCGGGGCTGCCAAAGAGCCCCTGGATGCTGGAAAGGCGGGCCCCCGGCCACCCCACCCACCGGTCTGGTGACGTCACCGGGTGGAGCTACGTGGCTCCGCCCCCGGGGCCGGGGCCCGTGCCCACACCTCTGAGTCTGCGGCTCCCGCGGGACGCGGGGACGCGGCCGCCCTGTGCAGAGGCACCACGTCACAAAGTGCTGCAGCCAGTACCCCCGCGCTCCCCTTCAGCCCCTCACTCTCCACAGCATGTCCCACCCCTCTTTTTTTGCCCCTTTTTCTGACTCTGCTTCTCCAAATGGCTGAGTGTGGGGACCAGGAGATGGGAGCGCAGATGGCACGCTGCCTGAAGGAAGTAAATTTGATTTGATATCTCCTTAATCCGTTTGCATTTCTACTGCTTATTTAATATCTTGATATTTTCTCGTGTAATTTTGGAAGATTTCAGGGGGCGTTTTCTTTTTGTGTGTGTGGGGGGAGGGTTCTTTCTTAGGGGACTTAAAGTTGGCCGATGCCTTCTTTAGCTTTTGATTTAAAAAAACTGGGATTTAGTCATCTTTTCGTGCAGAAGGGAAAGAAACCAAAGCTTAACGGCCTTTAGAAAGGAAACAGCCCTGTTTATTTTTCATTCTTAACTCAAGCTGTCGTCGTTAGCACCTTGCACTGAGCACAGACGCAGCTGCAGAAGCACTTCGTTGCAGAGTACGCTGCGTCTACACAGGATTTGTGCCCGAGCATCAAAAGACAGTGCAGGTGTATATGGATGCGGGAGTGCGTGTGCGTACGTGATGTACGTGTGTGCGTGTGTGTACGTGTGTGTGTGGCCCAACAAATAACCCCAAGAGGCGCATCAGGATCAGAAAGAACCCCACATACTATCGATGGCCTAGGAAATTTCCTAAAGCTCTTAGTTTGAAACTAAACTGAGTTAGCAAAATCTCTAGTATCAGAAAATCATCTTTGCAGAGAGAGGCTCGTTTCTCCGTGCTCTCCTGTCCCCCAAAACAGGTGTCGCTGTGTCTCGTGAACCCATCTCTCGCTGGCTGGGGCGTCCGAAGTGATGAGATTCACCGAGGGCACTTGGTGGAGATTTCAGGGGCCCCACGTGTGCAGACTAAACCCCAGGGCCTGGGTGTGTGTGCGCGCTCCCGTGCGGTGTGAGCAGGCGGGCAAGGGGGCGCTCGGCTCATTGGCGTGCGCGTGTGTGTACGTGAGTGTGTGCTCACGCGCCCTAGGCTGCGCGCAGAGCTCAGCTGCTGGGTTGGAGAGAAAGAGTAGGCAAGTGCAGGGGACAGGAGGCTGAGCGGGGTGGGCGGGGGGGCGGGGGGGATGTCGAATTAATAGAGCTGCTTTAGCTGTTTTCCCTTTCCCGTTCTCGCTCGTTTAAACCCCACTACAACGTAGGGATAGGGGGCTGGATTCTCCGTTGAGCTGATGGAGGAGGGGGAACAAGTTGAAACAATCGAGTGGGCGCGCCAGGACTCCCCGGCTCCAGGCAGGGAGGGGAGAGGGAGCCCCTGTTCCGCGCCGGGAGGGGGCGGGGTTGGGGGGGCCCCAGGAACCGCGAGGAGGCGGGGGTGGCTGCGGGGACGGACAAGTGGTCACCCCCAGGAGGCGAGAATTCGTTTGGATTGTACATTAATTGGAGATATCTGATTAATTCCAGTTTCTGATGACTATAAATGGCGATCTCTACCAAGGTGTCTTTATTTAAAAAAAAAAAAAAATCATTCCGTGTCATCCCCCACGTCAGGCCTGCTCGTGGGCGTGAGGCTGTACTTCCTCCGCCCCCTCCTAATGGAGTGAACCATTCCCAGCTCTTCCCCCCCTCTCTCTCAGCCTCTCTCTCTTTCTCTCTCTCTCTCTCTCTTCCTCGCTCCCTCTCTTTCTCTCCTCCCTCTGCCTTCCCCGTGCATAAAGTCTCCGTCGCTCTTGGAACTTGTTGGCAATGCCTATTTTTCAGCTTTCCCCCGCGTTCTCTAAACTAACTATTTAAAGGTCTGCGGTCGCAAATGGTTTGACTAAACGTAGGATGGGACTTAAGTTGAACGGCAGATATATTTCACTGATCCTCGCGGTGCAAATAGGTAAGTGGCCGCCCGGCCAGGCTTGCGGCTGTCGGCAGGCGGTAGCCGGCCGGCCCGAGGCGCCGAGGGGACCTACTGGCTGCCCGGGGGTGCGGAGAAGCCGGCAAACCCCAAGGGTGGGGGCAGCGGCTCCTAGGGACTCGGGCGTCCCGGGTTGGTTTTTCTTAAAAAGAGAGAGAGAGAGAGAGAGAGAGAGAGAGTCCAAACGTTCGCCAGGATATGTATGCAGCTGGCCGTTTTCAGAAGGGGGTTTCCCCCCCTTTTTCCCCCCAAAGCGCACGTCCATTTTTGCTTCCCTTTCTCGGGTTAAAGCAGGTTTCAGGAGCTCTGGGGCAATGCATTGGCCCCTGCGATGCTGCAAGGTATTATTTTGAAGGGTCGAAAGGTGAATGCAGGAACAAGATGGCTAGGCAGCTAGAATGGAAAGTTTATGTGCAGAAAGCAAAGATATTTCGGGGCTCACACTGCTGCATTTAGAACTTTGTCATTCTCCCGCCCCCCTACCCCCCATATCCTAGCTGCAGCGTTTGCACCGGGCACCGCAGACCCGGCTGGAGAGCAAATTGAGAACGATAGGGAACCCCAGAGCACATATTTTAATAGGCTTATCATTAAGGAGGTTGAATTCAGCCAAATATACGTGGGTATAATATTCTATGAATATTTGCCTGTTCCTTTCCACATAGGCATCTGTATTTTATATCTAGGAAAGGGTTAAGAAGTGTTTGCAATATGCCATATGGGGGGATTCTTATTTTTGTTTGTTTGGGGGTAATTATTACGGATTTATTTAGTCCCCATTTTATGTTAAGGAATGTTGAGTCGTAGTTATACTGTTTGGGGCTTTTAAAAGTTCGCGTTTTCCATCCAGAATGAGGAAGACGTGATGGAAGCCAGCACTAGAAAACCCACTTCTTCGATGCAGGTCGGAGCATTAATTAACCTGACCTAAAAGTGAAAGTGAAGTAGATTATTAATAGAATGGACAAGAGAAAAAATAGAAACTCTTCAAACGGGTTTTCTGGAGACTGAGGGAATTGTTGCCTCCTACCATTTCAGGCTGTAGCATTCTTTACAGACAAACCCTTGCAGTATTTGGGTGGGAGGGTGCTTGAGGGAATGGGGCAACAGAAAATGTACATTTCTCTTCGTGAGAAATGTAGAAGAAACAGGGTTTGGAGTTATCTGTATATTAAAAATGGATTCTCTGCAGTGGGTTTTTATGCATTTGACATGATTTTGTGTATTTTGTTGCATGAACATTACAGGGATTTTAGACTATGTGCAGGATGTTGGCGTTTTCCTTTAAGAAGTGACTTGATATTTTGAATCTGGTTCTTTTGAATCTTTGACATTAGTGCAAAGAGGTTAAATAAATATTTAAAAAATGCTAATTGCAGCAAATGCCTTAAATGTTGGAAATAAGTGAATGTGACATTTAGCAATTAGCCTGCAAATTTTTAGAGAGCAGGAGACAGCGGTTATTTTTGATACAGGGATTTTTATGGGAGCAGGTTTGGGGTTGTTTTCCTGGAGGGATATAACCTTACTTTGGAGGGGTTAAAGAAAAAAGAGAGAGAGAGCGTTTGTGCTTGCGGGATACTCTTGGAACACATTAACCTCGGCCGGAAAATGACCATTTGTTGGCTGTGGAATTGAAATTGAGCATGTTTGTTCCCGAATGTCTGCCCTTTCCCGCACCAGAGCCTCGATCTTTAATTCATGGCTGGGAGCTATCCCAAGTCATTGACATTTGGCAACAAAAGTGGGGGTTGGGAAGGGACGGGGAGATGGAGAGGGTGGTAAGCACAAATGAAGACACGCGGGAGGAAGTTTGAAATGAATGAGAGGTCGAACGAATGAATGAACGGATAGGAAAGGCACAGGACATGGACATCGGAGAGGACAGGGAAGGAGCCCGGGTCGCCCTCCGGAGCCTCGCTGAAGCGGGGTTCAGGAAGGACAGCTAGGGTCGCGCGGGCTATGACCTGCTCAGATGCATAAGCCTCAAAACGCGTCCCGCGCGCAAGCCCCGGTGCTCCCACAGCGAACTAGAGACGAAGCAGTCATAGTTGAAAAAAAAAAAAAATTTCACGACTTCTTATTTTACACACGCACACACTCACACATGCGCGGTGTGGAGGGAGGGTCTTCTCTTCCAGCAGCGCCCGCAAAGATAGCGTGACAGGAGCGCTTCCCGCCCCAGGCGAGCCCCAATTCCCCTTTAAAATATTGTCTGTACATTTTAGGGGCTACTTTTTTGCCACTGAGTTTTGGGGGTGGAGGTAAAGGGTAAGGAGAGACGGGAGCTGGGTGGGGGAGGGGAGGATGAACTGTATTTTATTCCGTTTCGACGCTGCAAAGCAGCATTTGTGGCATGCATTATAGAAGAGGACGCGTAGGGTTCATTTCATTGTGACCGCATTCTAGCAGAACAAAGATTCGTTTATTCTCTCTCAGTGTTATATTAAATATTGCAGTCGCAAGGCCTTTTAATATTTCTCGGAGGTGGGGGGAAGGAGATTTATGAAGGTTTACGTCTCTGCCCGAGCGGAGGTCGAAGTTAACCTTAATCTCTTCCCTTCCCCGGCGCTTCCCGTTCCGGATTAGAAAGCGCAAGGCCCGCCTCGCTCTTCCTGCTGCAATTTGCAAACGGGGCACTCTCGGAGGCTGCTGCAGGTTCGGTCACCTTCCTCTGGTCTGCGTCTGGCCCAGCTCTCGGGGACCAGCGGCTGAGGGTGGTGGGGGCAGTGAGGTATAAAGTCCTCTCCGGATACATTCCTACGAAAGCGGTGGCGGTCAGAACACTGCCCAGGAAGGGGGCGAGCGCTCAGGGTCGTGGGTACTGGAGGCCGATTTCGATTCTAAGATCCGCCCCTTCCCTCTGCTCCCCCAGCCCCAACAGCGCGGATCAACGCTACTGGCGCCCCTCCTGGCCCCCGGCGTGCTTTTGGCCAAGAGCCATCGAACGTTTAGCCATTTGTTGGCCTTGGGGTGGAGAGAAATGGCCTTCGTAGCGGCAGTCCGGAGCCTTGGGGTTTGACCGCCCCGAAGCCAAGAGCGAGGACTTAGGCGCCGCTTGGGTTACCTCCCCGCTCCCCTCCTCCCACGGTCCCAGCCGCCATCCCGGCTCCCGCCCCTCCGGAGGGAACCAGGAGCTAGAGGCCCAGAGCCCCAGGCGACTGCCACCTGTGCCCCTCAGAGTTGGGGCCTGGAGAGAAAAGGTCCCACCCGCTGTGGGCGGGAGTGGTGGCCGGTTTTTCCGGGTGTGTGGGGAGCTCAGCCGCAACCAGAGGCTCACGGATTTGGCCTTCGCGGAGATAACCCGGGGTCACCCGCGCAAACACAGCCGTGACTCTGCTGGGTCCTGACTGCCCCGACCACTCGTCACCCCCGCCCAGTCTCCGGACACCGAGGCTGCTCTCTCTCAGTGGGGTGGGGAGGGTGCCTGCGAGGATCTCCCTCGGAACACAAACTCCACGGTAGGCAATCTGTTTTATAATGAAACAATCCACCTCGGTGGCTGCTGCCGGGTTCCAGAGACTTTATTAATTTATTCATTCAGCAGTGTTTGCTGAGAACCCACCAAGCATCGCGCGCCGGCCCGAGGCTTTCTCGCACGTCGTGGCCTGGGGTTCAGCGGCGTGGCCCCACGCGTTGCCGCCTCGCCCACCTCTTCCTCTCCCCCGCACTCTGCTGTCGTGACCCCCTCTGTCACCTCAGAAATGCAAGATTGCACTTCGAGAGCCAGGACGGACTTGCTGGGGAAGTGTTGGGAAACGAAGGAGGGAGTGAGGAGAAAGGGAGAAATAAAAGAGACGGGGGAGGTGAGAAGAGGGGGCGAGGGAAACAGAAAAAGATAGATGCAGAGTGAGATGCTGGAGGGAGCTGCAGGAAAGGAATGGACGCAACTCCCCCTCCCGCACACGCTCACGCACCCGACCGTAGGCACCGGACACTAGTTGGGGGCGGGTCAGTCATTCTTGGGCCACATCTTTCATTCACCTTTAACACAGGCGTCCCGCGAGGCTGGGCGCTAGTGGACGCGGCGGCTCGACGGGGCTGGTGGGCCGCGGGGCCGTAGGGCAGGGTCGCGGCGCTGCTGACCGGTGTCCCCTCCTCCCCGCAGCGTACCTGGTGCAGGCCGTGAGAGCAGCGGGCAAGTGCGATGCGGTCTTTAAGGGCTTTTCGGACTGTTTGCTCAAGCTGGGCGACAGCATGGCCAACTACCCGCAGGGCCTGGACGACAAGACGAACATCAAGACCGTGTGCACGTAAGTGTTCTCTTTGGTATGCTAGGTTTCCATTCTGGGGGGCGCTGCTGAGGTCGGAGAGGGCCTCGCCTACCCGCCTGAGCTCTGAATTCCCCGCCAGCGCTAATCCGTGCGGGCTAGCCCTCGGACCTTGGCCAGGGTCTGCACTACCCAAGGGGACCCTGTGGCCTGAGATGGGCAGAGGATGATCCTCCCATGCGGGGGCCAATCCCAGCCCTGCGCAGCTCCACCGGCACCCACAGAGGCGCGCGCACTCAGCGCACTGGAACCCGGAGGGGCCTGGAGAGCTGCTAGCAGTTCCTCGCTCTACTTTGAGGCAGTCTTCATCGTTCTTTTTTTCTGTGTGCATGAGTGGACTGCTGGGTACTCTCCGAAAAACGTTTGGTTCTGGTTTGAGGAGCTTTTTAGGAAATACTAGGTTTGCATAAAGGAAAAGTCACTCTCCTGTTTGGTCCATTTCCCCTGATGAAACCCCCTTCCAATACACACCAAGAACATTGAGATGTAGGCAAGGGAGCGTGGGTCCCTCTTCCTCTTTCTAAGAGAGAGACTGAAGGGATATTTTGTTTTGTGCCAATGATTTTGCCCAAAGAAAGTAAGTCCTGGGAACCCAGTGACCATATCTGCCGAGTCTGTGGCAGATTAGAGGTGTAGAATAGCCACCCTCCTTGCTCCACCCCCTCCTCTCTGCATCTGCTCGGTATCCCCAGGCCAGGGCAGCTAAGGGCTAGAAACCAGTTCACAGTCAGGTAGGGTGGGTGACTTTTGCCAGAGCTTGACTGGAAAGTACAGCTCCCACTGGCAAAGGAAGTAACTAGCAGAGAGCCCAGCTGTGGTAGACCAGCAACATTTTAGCTGCTGCAGACCTTGAAGTACCTCCATCCTCTGCAACACACACACACACACACACACACACACACACACACTTATTTTACTTTATTTTTCAGAAAGAGCTGTAACTCCCACCCCTTGCCCAATAATGACCCTTCCAAAAAATGCCAAGACAAGAGGTGTTCCCTGTTCCCTGTAGGTTGGAGAAACCATTTTCTGCACCACCTTTTTTATACTGTGAAGTCCTTGTCCTCTGTCTAATTCCTGGGGAGGGGGGTGTTTATTTGTTTAAATTATGAGCACTTAAATGGGGGTCAATTTTGCCACACACTTTCCTAAATACCCTGGTGTCCTCCAACAGTCACAGCAGTTCGGTGGCTGGTACTTTTCTACCAGAAAAGGACAAAAGGTGGGATATGGGTTGCATGCCCACCTACTTTAATCCCGAATGTCTGATGATAGGTAAGAGTATATCTATAAAGCTGGATGAAAGGTTAAATATAGATCAGCTCCCCAATATTCCATTATTTGCCAGAATTTGGTTATTCTAAGTTATTTTAATTTTTTACAAGGGCTTGGTCCTGGAGAATGGAAGTGAGGGGGACCCCTGCTGCAGTCTGGGCTCACTTCTTTAGTGGCACTGGTTGCTCAATACTCTGCTGAAGCCCACCCCCTCTCAGTTCCATGTGGATATCAGCCACTTTCTACCATAGTCCTCTTCCAAGAGGGTCCTGTCCTCATCTGGGCATGCATAAAAAAGGAGAGATTTAGATATCCTTTGGGACGTGCAATTACAGCAGAGAGCTGTCCCTGCTCCTCTTAGTTTCTCTAAATCTTGCTATTTATTACGAATTGAGGCACCTGGAAGCCCTGTGGTTCAGGATCCGCAGTCCTCATAAATTAGAGACTCATAAAGGTCATTACAAAACAGCCAGAGCTCAAGGCAATCCAACAAGCATTTATATCTTTTCTATTAGCCAGGGGATGGGGTGGGAGTGGAAACACGGATAAATCAAACATGGTGCTTGCCTTCAACGTACTTACAGTCCAGGCTAGCGAGCAGAAGGGAGAGATAGGAGAAAATACAACCAAATTGCGTGGAGGGCGGTCGCTAGTGACCTGGCACTAAAGGCCCGGGCTAAGTGGGAGCCAGCCCGGAGTTACCGAGACGCACAGATCGACCGAGCACCGAAAGGAGACAGCGCCCCAGGAATCGATCACGGGTTGGAATTATATTTAGTCTAGGGATCTATTTTGGGTTTTCAGAAGAAAGGGGGACAATAAAAAAGGACAGGTTGGTTGAAGGTTGTGGGGGCGGGGCTAGGAGCTCAGCCGAGGAGGAGGAAGAAGGCGTGGGGCTCCGGGAAGAGGCGGGGAGCGAGGACAGGGAGAGGGGTCCCAAGAAGGCTGGCAGCGGTGGGCACCGCGGCGGCACCGGAGTCCCGGCCTGGGGGGCTGCGACTACACCGGCAGACCGTGGGGAGGAGGCTTCGTGGGGTCCCAAGCCTATGAAAGACTGCGGAGGGGGAGAAGAGGAGGGACAGAGCGCCCAGGCCGGGCGCTCCGGGATTTGCGAAAGCAGAAGGTGGCTACGGAGCTGGCCCTAGGGCACTGACACTCACCGACCCGGGGAGGGGAGAGGCAGGCAGGCGTCTCCGGACCGAATCAGAGCCGGGGGACTGTGGAGAGCAAGGCCAGGGGCCACGGAGGGCCGAAGAGGAAGGGGAAGAGGCGGAGGAAGAGGAAGTGAGGAACTGAACAGAGGAAAACCGAGGGGAGGGAAAAGGAGGAAGACAAAGAAGGGAAGAAGAAAGGATGGGAAAATCGGAGAACGGGAAACAAAAGGAAGGGAGGAGGGAGAGTGCGGGCGAAGGCGAGAGAGTACCGCAGCGAGTGGGGGGAGGAGGGACACAGAAGGGACGAGGGGGAGGAGAAAGTGAGAAGCCAAGAGGGGAGGGCCGTGTTCAGAGCAAGTAACCCATCTTGCAAGCTAAGAGGCATTAATGGGCGGCAGCTTGCAAGGCTTAGCACTGTTTTCCTAGCTTTCCCCGAGGAGGACGAGCAATCTGTTTGAGCAGGCCGAGGTGCCAGCGCGGCGCAGCCGGTGCGGCCCGGCTCCCGGCTGCCGGGTCCCTGCCAGGGAGCGGGAAAGGGAAACCAGACGCCGAAGGGGGCGGCCTCTGTCCTTGGACGGCGGCTTCCAGGATGGGCCGAGGTCTGGCGAGGGCCCGCCTGGCCCGACTCAAGCGCCGGGCCGGTGGAGAAGAGGTGGCGTGGGGGGGGGGGGGGGGCGGAGGCGTCCCCGGGAGGTTTGCGAGGCCGCGACCCGGGAGGCGCAGGGGCGCAGCGGCGCAGGCCCGGGTCCTCCCCGAGCCCAAAGTCAACCTGCTTCTTCCGTTTTGTTCTGTTCCTCGCCAGATACTGGGAGGATTTCCACAGCTGCACGGTCACAGCCCTTACGGATTGCCAGGAAGGGGCGAAAGATATGTGGGATAAACTGAGAAAAGAATCCAAAAACCTCAACATTCAAGGCAGCTTATTCGAACTCTGCGGCAGCGGCAACGGGGCGGCGGGGTCCCTGCTCCCGGCGCTCCCAGTGCTTCTGGTGTCTCTCTCGGCAGCTTTAGCGACTTGGCTTTCCTTCTGAGCGCGGGGCCGGCTCTCCCCCGCGCGCCCACCCACACTCACTCCATGCTCCCGGAAATCGAGAGGAAGATCCATTCGTTCTTTGGGGACGTTGTGATTCTCTGTGATGCTGAAAACACTCATATAGGATTGTGGGAAATTCCGATTCTCCTTTTGATTTCGTTCGATTTCTTGTGTTTTATTTGCCAAATGTTACCAATCAGTGAGCAAGCAAGCACAGCCAAAACCGGACCTCAGCTTTAGTCCGTCTTCACACAAAAATAAGGAAAACGGCAAACCCACCCCATTTCTTTTTTAATTTTTATTTTTTTGGCACAAGAATCTCAGGAACGGCCCTGGGCCACCTACTATATTAATCATGTTAAGACATGACAAATGATGGGCTCCTCCTAATAGCAAAGAGAGGAGAGGAGAAGGCCAGGGGAATGAAATCAAGAGAGATGTCCGCGAGGAAGGCATATGGTGAATAACTCACGCTCACGTCTTTCTTCCACAGTATCTTGTTTTGATCATTTCCACTGCACATTTCTCCTCGAGGAAAGTGAAAGGACAGAGCGTTGACTTTGTGTTTTAAGGATAGGAGGGAGAGAGGGAAGGGATTGAGGAAATCTCGGGGGTATAGGGAAAGGCTGCCAGCAGAACCGCGCGAAAGTCACTGAGAGGTTAAGCTTTACCTGGTGTTGTTGATGCATCTTTCCTAGTCCACTGCCTTTAATTTCCCTCTCGTTTTAGCTGTTACACATACGGTAATACCTGAATATCCAACGGTATAGATCACAGGGGGGGGGTGTTAAATGTTAATCTAAAATATAGTTAAAAAAAAGATTTTGACATAAAAGAGCCTTGATTTTAAAAAAAAGAGAGAGAGATGTAATTTAAAAAGTTTATTATAAATTAAATTCAGCAAAAAAAAAAAAGATTTGCTACAAAGTATAGAGAAGTATAAAATAAAAGTTATTGTTTGAAACGGGGGTGTCGTTTGTTTCCTGCCCCAAGCCTGCTTTCTTGGTCCAGTTCTCGGGATTCCCTGTAGGGACACGGGACGTCAGATGATAAATGCACCTGTTCACAAGCCAGTTGGTAACCTACCACCTTCAAGCAGACCCTCCTCAACTAGGTCACTTTGTCACTTCTCCGAAATTCTGTTTACTGAAAGAAGAGGAAGAGGCAGTTGTATCTTTGATAAGTGAAAAGCAGAGATGTTAGTTCTACGTGAGGTTTAGGGGGAACTGGGCTTGCGCGAGAGGACACACGCAGACCTCGCCCCAGGCGGGTCGGAGCCCTAACCACCATCCCGGCAGGCCGAGCCCTAACCACGATTCGCCTTTTCCTCTGCGGTGGCCTGAGGCAGCTTGAACGAACCGCCATTAAGGGCTCCAGCAGAGGGGCCTAGAGGCTGTGGTCCCTGGCAGGGAGCAGGTGAATCCTTTCATAATTAATAAGACAGCTTAGCTGAAATGGCGAGGAGACGGGGCCCTATTGATCCGGCAGGCGAGCTGCTTCCACCTCTCCTATTTATAGGCCCCGCATGGCCTTACGGAGAAGTAAACATTCGAGAGTAAACACGAGCAGAGGAGACCGGGGTCCAAGGCCTCGGAAACTGGAGCAGGCTGGGGGGGGGGGGGGGGGGGCCGGCGACAGAAACGAATGTTCGCCGCCTCTGGGTTCAAGGAAATCGAAATCTGATTTCTAGGACAAGGTGAAGGTGGGAGGGAGCTGCGGGCCTCCTCCCCCCAGGGTGGGGGGTGGAGGGCTGGTGGAGGGAGGCCTTGGAGGCTGCGGCGGGTTCCCGCGTCAGCGGAGCGAGCGGCCGCCGCCCGGAGGGTGCGCGGGGGCTCTGAAATGCAATGTGTAAACAATCGCTAGAGTAACAGTTCATAAATCAAACCCAGTAGGTCGCAGCCCAATCTGCATTCCCCCCACGGATTGAATTCCAGCAACACATGCGTCCCGGAGCCCCGAGCGCTTGAAGCTGCCCGGATTCTTAATGGCAGCATATATTACCGCGGCCAGTTCACGCACGCGCCGCGCCCGGCCACTCCTGGGAATAATTTCACCCGCCACCCCCTACCCAGCCCCGCCTCCGTGAATCCCCGGTTCTCAGCCAAAAGCAAAGGAGATCCTCGCTGCCTGCGCAGAGTGGTCACCCACAGGGAACGGCGGTTGTTTTGGAAAATAGCGTTTGGTTTTGATCATTTCGTTTCAGTGGTTATTTTCGGCCCAAGTATAAGTAGGATGATGCTAACCCGAGCTCAGTCCCTGGAATTCAGATTAAAATGTCTCAGCCTATTTTAAATACGAATCTATTTAATGAGGGGGAGGAGAAGTGGAGAAAGAGGGAGGGTCTTCTCCTTTCGTTTTTGCCTGGAGAGCTCGCCGCCTCCTATTGGTATCTTTCCCAAGGAAAACAGGGGGCGAATCCGTGCACACAACTGGGCAAGGGAAACGCACGCACTGTGCTCCCCAGGCTTCGCGGGGAGGGAGACTCCTGCGACACACGGAGGATGCCCCTCCCCTAGCAGCGAGGCTGTCCCACCTAGATAGCAGTCTCCTTCGAGATCTGGGAGGAGGCGAGGCTGAGGGAGGGGACAGACGCGACGGGGCGGGGAGGATTGGGAACGAGGCTCGCTAGCTCTTCCAACAAGATTCTCTCCAAGGAACCCCGTCCTCCTGCGGCTCCAACTGCCTCCCTAGAGAGAGGGCGCCGCACCGCCACGTCCTTCCAGGCCCCCACTCCGCCCTGCCCCTGATTGTCCTGGAGGTGCCTCGAGAAAGCTCGGTGCCGTGTCGGGGGCTCCAACGCCCTGTCCTGGGCCGGGCACTAGGAGCACGTGCGCTTGGAAGGAGCCGCAGGAATGCAGGGCCGCGAGTCTCGGAAACCCAGGCCGCCGCATCTGACTCGTTAGAGAACATTTCTTCTTGTTGTGGTGATTGTTTAGATTATTATCGCGCCGTCTTCGACTATAATTTGCTGTTTAATCATGATGACATCTCCGTATGTTAGCTGATGTTTTTAAGCAGCAACGCAGTAAGCCCTGTTCCCAGCTCGGGCAGATATTAACCAGCACTCCTTGCCCAGATGGGGGCGGGGGGACCGGGTGGGTTTCCACACCAAGGAGATCGTCAGACCAACCTCCACCTCACCCAGCAGCATCTCCAGCTCTTGCACAGCCCGTTGCCACGTGGCCCACCAGCGCTGGCTCTGAGCCTTTGAGAACTTGTTGGGCTTGCAGAAGCTCCCTCTTTCACTCCACTGCCTGCCCAAGTAGATTCAAGTCACAGCAGTTCACTTGAGTGTAACGTTTGGTTTTCCTCCTGAAAATGTCAGAGAGGTCAGCTCCAGAGCCCTTGGGAGGGGGAGTTAGAGGGAACAAGGACCTGAAAAAGGGGGCTCAGAGAAAACTTGGAAAACGTCCAGAAATAGTCAGTGGAGGGGAGAGAGGCGATCATCTTAAACACAGAAGGAGATGATGAAGAAACTTTAAGCTGGAGATAGTCGAGTTTCAGAGGAAGGGTGGAGGATAGAGAAGAAATTGGGACTGATTTTCATTCAGGACTCTGAGAAGCAAACGCCCACAAGGACCACCATGCAGATTCTCCTTCTGTGACCCCAGAGATGCTTTCACTCCAGCTGGAGCCTCAAGGGCTAGGGCCACAGTCATCAAGGAGCCTGGGGTCTGGGCAGGCCTGAGAGAGGTGTCTGTGGGGCTGGAGCACCAGCAGCCCCCACCTCTGCATACCAGAGCACACCCTGGGGAAATCAGACCGCTGAGAAGAGGTGAAGCCTATCCCCTCTCTGCCTTCCTGAAACTCCTTCAGATCGGGCAGAGCTGCTTCTGGGAAGGTCTCCAACCATTCCCTCCTTCTCCTGCTCCCCCGCACACATAAGGCTCTGAACCCTTGGCAGCTCCAGGCTGGGTGAGGGTGGTCCTGGAGGCGTCCACTCTCGAACAGTCTACTGCCTGGTCCCATAGGACCAGAAGAAATGTTCTCACTGCTCCAAAGCTTCCCTTGTCCCTTGTTTCTATTGTGAAAATAAAGTGGTGGGGGGGGGGGGGCAATGAGGATGCCAGCTGTGTGGCTAGAGCAAGACCCAGGGTTCATCCGTGGCAAGCCCTGCCCCCTTAAGTCACTGCAAGACAAGTCATCAGGGAACTTTGTAATGCTATATTCTGTCCCCTCTCCCCCAAGGAGAAGAACAGCATCTCCTAGGGACACTTCCTTGATGTTGGGGCCAGGCAACCTCAGCTGAAAGCCCCAATGCTAGAATAAAAAAACCCAGCCCAGCCCTGCCCAGCCTGGGCTCTGGCAGTCTCCCCAGTTGTGCCTCATGGGGTGAGGAGGAGGTTAACGTTTCCATCCAGATTCTCCTCCTGGAAGAACATGGCCTTTAGAGTGAGGACTAAGGAGCCAAAATACCTGTTTGCCAGCTGCATAACCATGGGTGGGTTACTTAACCCCTCTATCACCCTTCTGTTTTCCTCCTCTGTAAAATGGGGATAATCCTACCTACCTCATTGGGTTGCATTTTGTATCAAATGGAATAACATAGGTAAAGCGTTTTTCCACTACATGCCTCTTAATAGCTATTATTTTTGTTTCTTCCCACCTCTAAGCCAGCTTAATTCAGTGAGTCTCGCTGAATTCTTCAAAAATAACCTCTAGTAGAAAACCTCATTATGACCTGTAATACCTTGGGGAAGTTTTCCTTCATAGTCTAGCAGCTTAAACTCTTCTTGCTGCAGGCTACTTAGCACTCCCCCCCTCCAACTGGCCTTCTCAGAGGATGCTGTAGATAAGCTCTTTGAATTAGTCAGCTGCTCCGCATTGACTGTGCCCCCAGACCCTACAGCCACACCCCTCCAGCTGGGGCTTTCATTCCCCAATGTGGAATCCCTAGGTTTTCCCAGAACTGGCCAGATTCACCTTGGAGATTTCTCAGCAACTTCCATTCTCCATCTTCTCTCTGCTGCCATTTATATTATGTTAATTTATTATAAATTAATATTTATATTAAATTCCTCTTTCCAAATTAAAACATAAAGAATTTATTGTAATCATCAAAGCAATACATTGATACATAGAACAAAACAAATGAACCCACCTGCACTGTTAACAGACTGATGTGTATCCTTTCATACTTTTCTCCATGATCTGAAAACATATTGACATGAACCCATACAAAAGGTAGAGGGTTTTTTTTTCATTTGGGCAAAATTATGATATATATTATTCTTATACCAAATCCTTTAAGATCAATAATTAAACAAACAACTCCTGCTTTTAAATAGTTACACAATATTTCTTAGATGGCCGTACCACAGTTTATTTAATTCTCTGCCTATTGGTGGACATTTAAGTTTTTCCAGTTTTTTGTTGTCCTACAAATATTGTTATAATAAGTATTCTTGTTCAAACAATGTTATGTACTAGTATTTTGTTTCTTCTATAGAATAGATTCTGCCAAAGTTGGGTTGCTGGGCAAAAAGATATGTATGTGTGTTTATTTTTTATTATATATATATATATATATATATATATATATATATGTTTTTAATTTGGGGGAAAAAAAAAAACCGCTGTTGGATTATCTTCCCAAACTGTGTAGAGTGCATATTTGCCATCGTCATTAATACTGTATGTTAAAACATTTTTGGTTTTGTCAACACGGTAGGTAACCTAGTGGCTTTCTGGAAGGCCAGCCTTTCTAGGCACACACATTGGGTTGCCTGGGCCCCTCTGGGGCCCTGATAATCTCCAGAGCTCTGGCCAGAAAGGCAGCCAGACTTGGAGTACCCCCAGGGCAGCCATGTTGCCCTGCAAGTAGTGACTTTCATGCAAAGTCCGGTGTAATTAGTC